ATATCAGAGAAGTGACTTAGATGATTCAGTCACTGAATTTTCAGAGGAGACAGAAAAAGAAATGGAGCCAAAGGGAAGAGTGGTTGACAAGGGGGGTGGGAACAAGGATGGGATGAGTCAATTTGAGGACACTACACACTAGAACAAAAAGACCGGGTGGGAAGGAAACCGGATCGTAAGGGTTCCGCAGAGAACACTGGAACCTGAGGTGAGTCCCCAGCACTCTGATCTAGCCTTTGGAAACTCCTCCCCATAGGTCTGTTAAAGCCATTGTAGTGCACGGCTCAGAACTTAAGGACATGAACTCAGACCAGCTGGACCAAATCCTCAAGTCCTACAAGGAGATCGTGTTCGCTCGGACCTCTCCTCAGCAGAAGCTCATCATCGTAGAGGGATGTCAGCGAATGGTAAGGGAGTCAAGGCACCCCTGGGAGCCTGGCAGAGTCCAGCCACAAACCCAGCCGGGGAACAGGTGGGCTGGGTACAAGGGTCCTGGAGAGAATTGGATGCTGAGCCTCAATGATGGCCTTTAGTTCGGAAGCTTTCCGAAAGCTTCCATAGCTCAGGGGAGCAGAGACAGGGCTGAGCATAGACAAATCAAACAAGTATTAAGAGATGAGATGCTGGGATCGAGCTGCTATTTGGGACTGGTCCTGCCTGCGTCTAACACATTCTTTTCACTCTTGTCTGACTTCACCAGGGATCCATTGTGGCGGTGACTGGTGATGGGGTGAACGACTCCCCTGCTCTGAAGAAGGCCGACATCGGCATTGCCATGGGCATCACTGGCTCTGATGTCTCTAAGCAGGCAGCTGACATGATCCTTCTGGATGATAACTTTGCCTCCATCGTGACAGGCGTGGAGGAGGGTGAGGAGGCAGGGTACCTAACAGTGGGACTCGATCCTTGGAATGGGGCTTAGTGCATATTACCTTCATTGCCTTTGGTCACCATCCAACTTTCTAATCCTGTATGGACCGCAAAAAAATTTACAAATCTTGAAAAGTCCATTTATCTTGGGCTGGAGGAACATGGCTCTGTTAGTGGACTGCTTAACTTGCATGCATAAAGCCCTGGCTTTAGGTCCCAGCACCACCAAATGCCCATTACCCCAGCCCTCTGAAGATGGAGGCAGGAGGAGCATGGCTTAAAGGTTATCCTTGGCTACAGAGCAATTCTGAGGCCTGCCTGTGTGACATGAAAGAACCCATATTAAAAAAAAAAAAAAAAAAAAAAAAAGATTTAGCTAATCCTTAAGGGTGTTCTTTTTAAAGACAAAGTTGGAAGGTTTCCAGATTTGCCAGGGAGACCTAGACTCTGGCATAGCACCGTTCTTTCTTTATGGTCTCACAGGAATTCAAGTGTATCCACTGCAAGTTTTTAGAGGTAGCTATACCCTGGGAAACTCAGTGGTTCAGTCTTCAGCAGGGACCCCTAGGAACTTGTTGCCTGAATTACAAGGACATGTTAAGACCAATTGGAGAGTATCTGCAAATTAACAGCATGAACCCAATTACCCTCTCTCCACAGAATTCTAAAGAGAATGCCCATTGAAACAGAAGAACCCCACAGGCTCCATGCCAGGCTCCCTCATTTCCGTCTAAAGCTGTCGTACTAAGACACACTAATCTATTTTACTGAAATCTAGTGTGAATCTGACAGTATTTTAAATCTATTTAATTCAATAATTTTTTTTTTCTGAGCACCATTTACAAGATACTATCCCGATACAGGAGACAAAAGACAGAAATTCCTGCCCGCATACAATTTACTCTGTAGTGGGGAGAGACAGACAACAAACAGGGCAAATTCCATAGTATGTTAAAGCAATGGGAAAAAAAATAAAGCATGGGACTCAGAGAAGGGTGACAGCCTTTAGAAGGGTAGCTAAGAAAGGACTTAGCAGTCTTGCAAAGCAGGAGAAGTTGCATGGAGAGACGTAAGGGGAGAGCAAGGTCACAAGTAAGGCAGAAAATCAGATTCAAACCCAAGCCTATACCAAGCTCAGGTTCTTTCCACTCAGTTGTAATCTTGCAAAGTCTTTAATCCTGGCATTCTCAGACACCTCCAGGATTAACTCTACCCAACCCTGCTAATTTTCAGAGATCAGGTAACACTAGCCATGTTGAATCCAAGGGCCAAGAGTACAAAGTCAGGCCATGGCTAATAAATCATTGCTTTGCTTGATGGTCACACAATTTACAGACAAAACATGGGCCCGCCCACAAGGTCTTGGACTTGCCAACATTTTCATGGACCACTCCTCCCTAGTAGTCTTGCTGGCCAGGAGCTGCCTTATCGGAGGTGTGTCCTCTGGTTGCTGCTCACGGAAGTTTGGCCATCTTCCCCAGGTCGCCTCATCTTCGATAACCTGAAGAAATCCATCGCATACACCCTGACCAGCAACATTCCTGAGATCACCCCCTTCCTGCTGTTCATCATCTTAAGTATACCCTTGCCTCTGGGTACCATTACCATTCTCTGCATCGACCTGGGCACTGACATGGTGGGCTCCGGCTCTCACTCTGGGAACCCCTAAGATAGGTCAAAGTAGGGAAAAATTCGTCCCACAAGAGGGGACGGAGCTAGACTGTCTCTGTGTACCTGTACCTGTCATTCCCACCCTGCACCCTCCAGGTCCCTGCAATCTCCTTGGCTTATGAGACACCTGAAAGTGACATCATGAAGAGGCTTCCACGGAACCCCAAAACTGACAATCTTGTGAACCACCGGCTCATTGGCATGGCCTATGGGCAGATTGGTGAGCCCAGAGAAGTGAGGGGTAGAGGGGAGGAGAGGGTTGCCTTGACTGGCCATTTAGATACCTCTGTTTAGAAGTCAGGAAGATAGTTTCTCAACAACCAACTGCTTAGCCCTGGAACCACAAAAAAACAAAAAACAAAAAAAAAAAACTGTTGGTCTCTGATCTGTCCATAAAGACCACTGATAAAGAAAACCTACATAAAATGATAGTGTTACGCCTTTTCACATGCTAAGCAAGAAGTAAAGCCATAGTGTGCTACAGGAGCACACAGCATGCTAGCTCACCAGTTTTGAAGTGACAGAGGTTTTAGGGAGGAGACAACTTAAAACGGAAGATAAGGTTTGGACTAGTTAAGTAGGTACGCAAGTATGCTGAGCCTGCAGAGGAGGGAAGTTCACAAGGTGTGGTTAGTGATGGGCAAATTCTTTTAGTGATGTTTAGTCTTGATCAGGAAGTAATGGAAAATAAGGCTGTAGACATTAACACTGGGACCAACCTTGAAAAACATGTAGGAACCATATAAAGTCTCTGTCCTTTACCAGCTCAGTGTGATGGAGTGTTTCAGAGAGTAAGGTAGGGATGGACAGGGAAGAGATTCGAGAGAGAAGAAACCATTCAGGGAAGGAAATGTGTCTGAACAGCAGTGGCATAGGAGTCAGACCCGCTGGAAACCTGAGTCACTGCTTGCTTGCCTCTAGGGCCCAGAAGACAATTGAGTCACGTGCTTTGATTTTCCCACTTAGGACAACAGTTCAGAGCCGGAAGGAGCTATGTCCACAAGAACCTGTGTGCAACGCTCTGTAACTAGCAGGCAAATGTTACTCTCATAGCAATTGCTGATGCTCAGCCAGCACTCAGTAGAGAGAAAGGACGAATTGATATCATAGTTCTTTTTTTAAATTTATTTATTATGTATATAGTGTTCTGGGCACCAGATCTCATTATAGATGGGTGTGAGCCATCATGTGGTTGCTGGGAATTGAACTCGGGACCTCTGGAATAACAGTCAATTCTCTTAACCTCTGAGCCATCTCTCCAGCCCACCATAGTCCTTTTTAGTTTTAAAATTATTTGATTCAAGGGCTGGAGAGATGGCGCAGTGGTCAAGAGCACATCCTGTCTTGCTGTGAACCCAAGATCGATTCGCAGCTCCCATTACCTGTACTCCAGCTCTAGGGGATCTGAAGCCCTCTTCTGACCTCTGTCAGCACCATGAATATCCCCTCCCCCAACCATACACACAGTGAAAACTATATGTGTGTCAAAGATGATCCTAGCTGGACCAAAACAAGACTGAAACCCAGCAGGGCAAACTCTAAATCCTACAGCTCCATGTTTGGTGTCAGAGGGGGCTTAAGGTGGCTCTGCTCTGCTGGCTTGGAGTTTAGAAACAAATGTCAGGGTTTGGAACCAAGTCTCTCAGAGATGGCCAGCTCAGATCACTGACGACAAGAACCTTCATCACTAACCCAGCTAGTAGCAAGGACCAGCCCACCGCTTCTGATATGTATCTGGCGCATTCTCTGAACAGACTCTCTCTTCCCCTGTGACTGTCACTCACAGGGATGATACAGGCGCTGGCTGGATTCTTCACCTATTTTGTGATCCTGTCTGAGAATGGGTTTAAGCCTTGGGATCTGCTGGGTATCCGCCTGCACTGGGATGATGCAAACGTCAATGACCTGGAAGACAGCTTTGGACAGCAGTGGGTGAGTAGAAAAGGAGGTGGGGTCTGAGAGCAGCTAGTTAAACTGAGGAAGACACCCAATAGTATAACCCCAGCACTTGGGAAGCTGAGGTAGGAGGAGTACCACAAATGGAAAGTCAGCCTAGGAACATAGCAAGTTCAAGGTTAGTCTAGGCTATATGCTTGAGTCCTTGTCTCAAAAAATGTGTGCTCAAATCTTAATTGTTGAAAATATATCTTTTACACACTTGTGGCTTCTGCTGTTGGAACCCCACGAGCCATCAGAAGTCCATGATGATGAACTTCCAATGATCCAACAGCCAGTGGTACCCAAAGTCTCTCCTGTTCACCAGACCAATATCCCCCCAACCCTCAACTCAAGCTCTTGTTAGTTTTACACTCTATACCTTCCCTGTGGCCAAGATGTGGCATGATACTTATTTATAATAGATTAAATTTAATTAAAAATAATTTTACATGACAAGAATTTGTCTTCCTCATTGAAGACCTGCAAAGGTAGCAAGTGGAGGCTGTAGCAGCAGCTGAGAACGCACATCTCCAACCACAACCTGGAGGCCAAGAGTTCACAGAGGGATGACAGGAGGAACTTCAAAACCCACCCCCAGGAACAAGGCCCTACCTTCTAATCTTTCTCAAAGAGTTCTATCAACTGAAGACCAAGTATCCAAACATGAGTCTATGGGGACCGTTATCATTCAAATCGCCACATTCCACTTCCTGGGCCCCATAGTTTCCTGGCCATATGATCAGGCAAAATGTTTTTAGTCCATCTTCAAAAGTCCCCAGTAGTCTTTCACAGTCTCAACACTACTTTAAAGTCCAAAATTTCTTCTGAGATTCAAGCAATCTAACTGTAAACCTGTAAAATCAAAAAGCAAATTACATACGTTGAATGTACAATGGCACAGAATACACATTATTAGTCCAAAAGGGAGGAAATCAGTACATAGTGAAGAAGTACTGAATCAAGATTGAAATCCTACAGCTCTGGGTCTGGATCAACAGACTTAGATGACTCCACCTATCCAGCATTGCTGCCTGCAACTCACTTCTCATTTTTGGACTGGTTCTGCTCCCTGTCTGCAACAATCCTTGGCAGACATATTATGGCTCTGGCATTTCCAACATCTCAAGGATGCTTCCCTGATGCTTCCCTTGCCCATGGGGTCTTACTCTGAGGACACCCATCCCTTTATCCCAACGTAGATCAGGTCTCTCCTTAGTCTCCTTATTGCTTTCAGCACACTGGAGGCAACATTAAACGTCCTGATATGCTTTTTCTCCTCAAGCTGTACACGTGGTATTTCTATTTTGCCACACTTCCTCCTTTTTATTGTTGGCTTACATAATAGTGATTACTAATAACCCTGTGACAGAGTCAGTGTTAGGCCATCTTGAAATCTCTTCTGCCAAAGAAATTAGTCCGTTACTTTCAAATTTAGCCGTAGGTAAGTTCTTAGGATGAGGGCAGAAAACAGCCACATTCCTTGCCAAAAGATCACAAAAATCATCTCTAGTCCAGTGCCTAATAATATTCTCTTCCTCCTCTTCCTCCTCCTCCTTCTTCTCTTCCTCCTCCTCCTCCTCCTTCTTCTTCTTGTTTTTTGAGGCAGGGTTTCTCTGTAATTTTTTGGGAGCCTGTCCTGGAACTAGCTCTTGTAGACCAGGCTGACCTCAAACTCACAGAGATCTGCCTGCCTCTGCCTCCCAAGTGCTGGGATTAAAGGTGTGCGCCACCACTGCCTGGCACTCTCAAACCTCTTGAGCTAGGCCTCCACAATCTACATAGATCTTGTACTTAGCTCTTACTACTGTCTTCAAAACTCCTACTAAATTAGCCCATTAAGCTCTGCTTACAACATTCAACTACTTTTCCAGATCCAAGTACCAAAGTCTTCCATATTCCTCCAAGAAAACTACATGGGCAGGTCTACCACAGCATTACCCTACTCCTGGTACCAATTTTTGTTTTTAGTTACATTTCTTTTCTTTATTTTTTTTTACATTTATTTTATTTTATGTGTTTGTGTTGTGTATGTGACCCATGGAGGTCAGAAGAGGTCCTTGTATACCTTGGATTATTAAGTGTGGCTGTGAACCATCATATGGATGCTGGGAACCAAACCTGGCTCCTCTGCAAGAGCAACAATTGCTCTTAACCACTGAGCCATCTCTTTAGCCCCTTAGCTACTCTTCTATTGCCATGATTAAACACCATGACCAAGGAAACTCATAGAAGAAAAAGTTTCTTCTAGGCTTATAGTTCCAGAGGGTTAAGAGTTCGAGATGGCAAAGCAGAAAGCTCTCCACCCAGAAAGCACACACTTACAGTTAAAGTAACAGTTCATTATCTTCGAAGAAACTTTCATTAATCCCACTTATCACAACCTATACCAGAAACTGACCTAGACCCTGGGGATAGGATAGTAAACTAAGATGGTCATGAGTTTCTTTCTGTGTGGACTAGGATGACCTCTAACACATCTACATGTCTCTTGCTTCTTCCTCGCAAATGCTGGGATTAAAGGTATGCACTACACCCAGCCTATAAGCCATGGTTCTTACAGAGCTTACTCTAGTTAGGGGAGGAGAGGGTGTGTGTGTGTGTGTGTGTGGTTATGTGTGTGCCCGTGAGTGTGTGCGTGCATAAAACATATCAAGTTAACAGATTTAAAGTAAGTCCAAGAAATACTAGGAAATATTGAAATTGATATACTAGAATGAGTTGGAAGGATAAACATGGAAGATAAAGATGCTTGAAATTTAAATTGCAGAAAACTGTAGGTATTGGAAAGGATTTAGGATAATATCTAAAGCTTAACTCTAAGAACAAGCTGCCCAGTTAGAGTGTGAAAGGCAACAGAATTAGAGGGGATAAAAAAAAATGGGAAGCCATGGTAATGGAAGATTATTCATAAATATGAATATTTAAATCTCAAAAAATGAGGACAAGAGCAGAAGTAGAGTAGCAGTGAGTCAGATGCTAAACTCTCTGAACAATGACAGGAACCGTCACAGACGGTGAAGCGCTCACTGGCACGCCAATATGCTGACTGCTCTTGGCCTATGTTCTGCTTTTGGCTCATCAAATTTTTGTTTGTTTGGATTTTTGTTTGTTTGTTTGTTTGTTTGAGACAATGTTTCATTATGCAGACCAGGCTGGCTTTGAATATGGAAATCAGCCTGCCTCTACTTCCCAAATGTTGTTATGTTTAATGTTTAAGTTGTGTACCACCATACCCAGAAAATTTTTTAACCATTGTTTTCTAACCATATAAGCTTTTTTATTTCTATCCAAGTACAACTTTAGGTACATCCCAAGTGGTTTCATAGTTACTATGTTAATATTTTGCAAACTCACCTATTAATTTCTTACATATACTTAGAAACATGTTTTGTTTTTAAGCCTAGACTCTTTTCTCCAGCTTTCTGCCCCGGGTCTAGTTTAGATGCACCTCTTCTGTGTTGCTACAATGCCCTTGGCTTATCTGTTATAACTATTGTATTGGCATTGTTAGTAATTTTATGCCTCCTACTAGATTCTAAGTCCCTTATGTACAAAATTCAAATGAAAGAACCATGAAATGAATAAGAGAGTTGCCTCCTGTCTGCCATCCGACGGGGTTGGTTGCTAGGCCGGCACGCTCCAATTGAGCTACGGCCCCAGGCTTCTGTCTCCCACTCTTTTGGGACATTCCTCCCTGCTCTGTCTTCATACTGCCATACTGCCCTCTGGATCTGCTGGCCTAAGTCCACTTTCTTTTAGTCATAGTCCTAACTTAGTGAATTTAGTACTTACTGAGGCATGCTACACAACATTCAATAGGCGAAGTACGAGGAAGGGACACAAAAAACTTTCAGCCATTTGGAGAAAATACAAAAATATTAAATGCAGTATAGAAAGTGCTAAGAAAGCTAATGTACACCGTGCTAGAAGATTCCAGGCAAAGCAAAGCTCAGACTCTGGGTTCTGAAAGGTGAAAAAGGTAAGAAATTCTTGGGTGTATCTAAACTCCTTTCTGACCCAGGTACCGCTTTTCTGCCCACCCTACCCCCAGACCTACGAGCAGCGGAAGGTGGTGGAGTACACATGCCAAACAGCCTTCTTCATCAGCATCGTGGTTGTGCAGTGGGCTGACCTCATCATCTGCAAGACCCGCCGAAATTCGCTCTTCAAGCAGGGCATGAAGTGAGCGTCCCCCAGTAGCCACCAACCCTCCCTGGCTCAAACACGCCGGTCCCTTGCCTTTTCTTCCTACATCTATCATACTCGTCAATCTTTCTTCCCAGAAACAAAGTCCTATTGTTTGGGATCTTTGAGGAGACATTCCTGGCAGCTGTCCTGTCCTACACTCCAGGCATGGATGTGGCCCTGCGAATGTACCCTCTCAGGTGAGTGAAGGAAGAGATGCCACCACTGGGGGAACAGTTGGGAGGAAGTGGGAGGAAATGTGTGTTTGAATGGGACAATCACCAGGTTGGGGACTGCCCAGACCAGTGGAGCTACACTCAGTGACTCGGAGATTCTTCCACACTCAATCTATGACCTTTATCTGGAGCAGTATTAGAGACTATGCCAAATGATTACATGCCATTGGGCTTGCAAATTCAGCAGACTTGGCAGTGTTTAACCGAGGGGAATTTTATGACGGCATCTGATTGAATTGGATGAAGATACATATTTCTTAGTCCTAATACAATGGTCTCATTTGCCAGGTGGAGTGGTGCATACCTGTAGTCCTAGGAAGTAGAATCAGGGACATTATTGTAAACAGAGACTGTTTGTTTCTTTCCTGGCCGCCCAGGCCCGAATGATCACACAGAGACTATATTAGTTACAACACTCCTCAGCCAATGACTCAGGTGTATTTCTAGCTAGCTCTTACATCTTGAATTAACCCATTTCTATTAATCTGTGTATCACCATGAGGCTGTGGCCTACCAATAAGATTCCAGCCATCTTTCCTTTAGCAGCTACATGGCGTCTCCTTGACTTTGCCTATTCTCTCTTTCAATCTCTGTTCAGATTTCCCACCTGGTTTTACTCTGCTAAGCCATTAGTCAAAACAGCTTTATTCATTAACCAATAAAAGCAACACATATACAGAAGGACCATCCCATGTCACTTGGTTACATAGTAAGTTTGAGGCCAACCTGGGATAGAAACCCTGCCTCAAAACAAAGAGCCAAATTTATGGTTAGCTTAACTAATCCTTTATTTTTTTTCATACAAGTCTGTTTTAATGTGAGAATGTTTTGGTATATGAGATTATTAGTTTTAATAATATATTAATTTGTTTTAATATATGAAAAGGAGCATACTGAAATTCTTAGTGTCGGGTTCCCTGTCTTAGTCAACTCTCAGGTTGTTATTATGTTTTGCGTTAACATTAATATATGCTTATGAATGTTCGAGACAGGGTCTCATGCTTATGTTCCCAGGCTGGCTTTGCACTTGCTGTGTAGCAGAGAATGACCTTGAACTCCTGATGTAACTCAGTGATGGCGTGCTTGCCCAGCTCGTGCAAAGCCCGGGTTTCTATCCCTAGCATTGAAGTTATGAATCTAAAACTTACCATGGAAAACGTCGAAGTGCCTTCCCCCTTGCCACCATGTCACCTGCACAGGCAGCCTATCGGAATAACTTAGTGCATATTCTTCCAATTCATCGCTCATATTTTCAGCAGCTTTGTTCACCTGCCCATCCCTTGCAGTGTTACACACTGCTTCCTACAATACAGGTGCTCAACTAATATTTAATGACGGGGCTAGCCTTAGTCCTTGACAATCCTAAGGTTGAAACTCAACTCTGTATATGTTGTGACTTTGAGGAAATAGGCAGCTCTTCTGAGCCTCAGCCACAGCACACAGCTGGCAGGACTCTCTACGTAGATTAGTGGCAGAGCACAGGCATAACATCGGCGAGACCCTAGGCTTGTGCTCCAGCACTGGGGAAAGTAATAGAATCTGGCAGCGTGTTGAGAATTACATGTAGAACTTAGTTTTAAGCACTGAACATATTCGGCCTCATGGAGGAGGTTTTAATAGTAGCTTTGCTTTCGTTGCTGTTGATGTCAGTAACAAACGAAGGTGAGCCCTGTTGCTCTCTGTATGCACCTTGGCCAAGCACATAGCACCTAATATTATCTTGTGTGCCCCTCCATCTCTTTTCTGTCTGGACTCCTTGAGATAAAAAAGCCATCGTGTGATCTTTTTTGTTTGTTTGTTTCCCTGATACCTTACGCAGATTCAGGGTGTACATATAAATGTTGTTCAAGGATTGAAAAGGTGTCTGCATATTAGCATTTATATTTGTGGTGTGTGTAGCAGATGAACCCCGACCTAAGTCTTTTCTCGGCCCAATATGGTAGCCACTGTCCCTATGTGACTACTGAGCTTATTTATTTATTTATTTATTATGTATACAATATCCTGTCTGCAGGCCAGAAGAGGGCACCAGACCTCACTACAGATGGTTGTGAGCCACCATGTGGTTGCTGGGATTTGAACTCAGGACCTTTGGAAGAACAAACAATGCTCTTAACCACTGAGCCATCTCTCCAGCTCTATTACCATCTTTTTCATCCTTGTTCGACATACAAGGACAATGAGGTTCTGAAGGGCTGAAGTGACCTAGGGAATTAGTGTAAGAATCCAGATCCTCAGAGTTTAGCTTTTATAGCTTCACTCTACCCTCCCACCCCCAACACCTTATCATATGAAGAGGAATAGGACTATGCTCCAAGAATCAGCCCGACTTCGCCTAAGATCCCACGGGGTTAGCAGCCTGTTGCTTCCCCTTTAGAAGAGAGAACAGTTCCAGCTCCATTAGGTCCTACCTCTCCATCCGCATCCTCTGAACACAGAAAAAAAGTAGAACTTAGTTCAAGTTTCCAAACAAGAATTTATTTTTTTTTCTAAAAAAATGTACCAGGTACGATTTTTTCCTGTTTTTTGTTTTGTTTTCAAGTTTCAGCAAATGCTTGTTCCCCTCAGTCAAGCCCCAAGAGATAACAGTTGAGGCTGGGCCAGAGTCTTGAGTGGGGAATGTGGTAACTGGAAACCACATGACCGAATAAGAGGGGCACCCCTCATCCCAGCTGAGGTAGGTGGGTCAGAGTCTGGTCAGGTGAGAGGAGGCTCCCCAGTCCTTAGGCCTGACTCTGTCCCTGGACACCTTCCTCAGTCAGGACCCCAAAGCAAGGAAACACAGGCAGGAGGAGAGGGACAACTGAGTCTGAAGCCCTAGGTAAGGGGTGGTTGAACCCCTATGTCACACATACATGCACATTCTCTCCCTCACACACACACCCACACAAACCCAAGTTTGTGTGCATGCGTATATTTGCACATGCGCAAGCACACACACACNATGGTTGTGAGCCACCATGTGGTTGCTGGGATTTGAACTCAGGACCTTTGGAAGAACAGGCAATGCTCTTAACCACTGAGCCATCTCTCCAGCCCACTACTGAGCTCTTGAATATGACTAAGGAGCATGAAAATATGTATTTGTAATTTTAACTTGCTTAAAGTGAAAAACTAAAGCAACACTAAATACGTCCGTAAACACAGTATGGGCTACATAGAGCAGCACTGTGATCCCCAGTCTGAGCAGTGGAGGAGACTGAGGCTGAAGAATCATGAATCTGAGGCCACCCTGGCAACATAAGACCACATTTCAAAAAAAAAAAAAAATTAAAGGAAGAAAAGGAAAGGAAAAATTATTTTATTTTTTGTACTGTATTTCCTTTTAGTCACTGAAAATTTCATATCCCAAACCTAGACATGGTGTATGACTGTGATCCTAGCGCTTGAAAGTTGGAGCCAGAGAGCTGGAGAGATGGCTCAGTGGTTAAGAGCTCTGCCTGTTCTTCCAAAGGTCCTGAGTTCAATTCCCAGCAACCACATGGTGGCTCACAACCATCTGTGATGAGATTTGGTGCCTCTCTGGCTTGCAGGGATACATAATAAATAAAAATTTAAAAATAAGATAACTTTAAAAAAAAAAGATGGAGCCAGAAGGATCAGGAGTTTAGGATTGTGCTTGGCTACACAGCAAGTTCAAGGCCAGTCTGGATGATGAGATCCTGCAAAGAAGGTGGGAAAGAATATTTAGTAGCTGAGTTAAGAAAGGTGAGCAGTACATGATATACACTAGATTTCCAAGATTTAGTATTAAAAGAAAAATGTATGCTCTCATTAGTAGTGTTTCTATTGATTGGCATGGGGGTCTATGCCTGCTTCTCAGCACTCAAAGGCTGAGGCAGGAGAATCACAAGTTCGAAGGCAGCTTGAGTCATATAGAAAGACTGGGTCTTAAAACACAACAAAATAACGTTTCTATTGATCATACACATGTTGAAATGGTATTTTGGATATAGTTAAATAAAATTAAAATTTCTTGTGATTTATCTTAATACAGACATTAGAAAACTTTAAATTTCACATGTGGTTTGCATTATCTTTTTCTCTTTCTTTTTTTCCTTTGTCTCTGTGTGTCCATCTGTGTGTGCATATGATGTGTGTTCCTATATGAGTGCAGTTGCATGTGTACCATGGCACACATGAGGAGGTCAGCGGTCAACTTCTGGTATCAGTCTTCACCTCTCACCTTGTTAGAGATGAGAGTCTCTCTGCTGTTCACTGATGCATGCACTGGGCTAACTGGTCTACCTGAGTCTGCAGCTTCTTCTGCCTCTGCCTCCCATCCCCCATTAGGGGATTACAGAGGCTTGTATGGCTGCATCTGGGTTTTGCATGAGTTCTAGGGATCCGAACACAGGTAACCAGGCTTTTGCCACAAGCACTTCCTCTACTGAGCCATTATCTCCATCCATCTCTCCACCCTTGCATTGTATTTCTGTTGAACAGTATTGTTGATTTATGTATGGTTCTCTGTCACTCAAGGGTATAAAACTCCTTAGGTCCATCTTCCTGGTCCCTAATTATAGAAGAGACTCAAAGAGGTTAAAAAAACAAGTGTCTATTTGGCAATATGGGAGTACATATAGACACACATAAATAAGTGTATATATTCCCTTCTATAATTGTAGAACTTAGACTATGCAGAAAAACAGCAAGGGAAAGGAGAGACTCTCTCAGCAGCTTATGAAAGTCAGTTGACAACCTCTTTAAATGCTGCATTTAACTCTGGACATGACATTTATCGTCTTGCCACTGGCGTTTCAGATTTGTCTTGTGTCTTTTCTCTCCCTTAGCACTCAGGTTCTGACCTCCTCAGAGGGGGTATCTGCTGGATCTCAGTTCACCTCCCCAACCCTAGCGCCCAGTTCAGTCTCCAGTGTTCCCATGCGCCATTGCTTTGATCCCTGTATCTTCAGCCACGCTAACCAACTCTCACTCTCTGCAGGATAAACTGGTGGTTCTGCGCCCTTCCCTACAGCGTTCTCATCTTCATTTATGATGAAATCAGAAAACTCATCATCCGTAGACGGCCTGGTGGTAAGGCTGCCCTGGACCTTGCTCTAGAGTGGTCACCAACACTCTAGCAAGTTTTCCCATCCCATCCGGCTTCCCCAGACCCACTGACTTTCTCTGTCTCACTGTCTGTCCTTTTCTCTTCCTGGACCCCTGTCCTCTACTCCTGAATCTGCATGTTCCCCCACAATGCTCGGGGCCCTGTTCCACGTGGCAGGCTTTCCACCTGACCCTTCTGCGCCCTTCCGCGGAGCTCCCCTGCAGACTCTCGTGGTTCCTCCCTCTTCTCAGCTCTCTTTGTCTCCTCTGCACAGGCTGGCTGGAGAGGGAAACGTACTACTGAGTGCGGCAGAGAAAGATCTTCACATGATATCGGTCTCCCAAAAGCTGAGACTGAGTGTAACACATCTGAGATAAAGCCAAGCGGGGGGGCAGAGACATTGGATTGGATTTACTCTGGATGAGAGAGAGGCGTTCCTGGGGCTGGACCAAGAGCATCTGGTAGGAGATGGGGTGGGTTGGGGAAAGCCCAGCCTGCTCTGTCTGGAGCCTGGCGAGGAGGTGCACAGTCTTGATACATTCAGTCGCCAGTCTAGAGAGTAAACATTTGGGGCAGCCCTCGCCTAACTCGGTCTGTAGGAATCTGATTTGGGGGGAACTAGAGGGTGCTACAAAGTTCTATTCCCACACTTAAAATTGTAACTGGCCAAGGGAGACCTCCAGAGGAGGCTGAAAAGGTACTAGAATCAAGCGTCTGGGGCTGAGTGTGGTGGCATATACCCTTAATACTAGCATTTGGAAGGTAGAGACAGATGGGCCTCTGTGAATTTGATGCCAGCCTGTCTACATAGTGAGTGCCAGGCCAGACAGGGCTACACAGTGAGACCCTGCCTTTAAAAACAGAAGATTAAGCCTACTTGTCACTGAAAGGTATTTCCCATTTTAAGATCAATCTCTGATGTGCCATCAGTGTAAGGGACAAGAGAATGCCCCCAAAGTCTAGCTGGAACCAGCTGATGCTGAGCTACATCTTGTAGAGGTACCATAGCACCCCATATCTGCACCCACATTTGGGGTGTGTGGGACCAAATAATCTAGATCTGACTTGGATTTTCTCAGATCAGATGACAGGCCATAGCACTGTTGCTCTCAAGGAGACCCGTCAGGTCCAGCAAGGCTCAATGACTTGGGAACAATCACATGGAGTGTGGGGAGGTCCTCTCCTCTAGGGCAGACTGGTGGTCCCTGCCCAGTAGGCCTGTCATTAGAACACCTCTAACCTAGCCCATCCTTTAGCCTTTCTCTCCAGTATAATCTTGAAACAGGCACTGTGCATGCTAGACAAGTATTGTATTGCTGAGCTACACCCTGAGCCCTGGACCCAAGCTTTCCCGGTCTTAGCAAAAAGGTGCAAGGAACCTCTCTCCTACCCAGCCTCTTCCTGTGGTTCCTCCCCACTTTGTCTTCCCCCTCAATCCCTCATTTCTGCTCGGTGAGCACCTCTGCTTTGCTCTAAGACTCTGAGTTCCTTCTCAGGGACCTTTTAGGGATCTGTGCCCCAAAGGAACCAGAAGAATGCTGAGGAAAACCAGGAGGAACTCAGCCGCTGTTGCCAAAATACAGCATAGGCACACTGCACACCTCCCGACACTGCGCCAAGGGCCGTGCCCGCCATTGCTAGATTCCCACCACTGCACTCTGTTTCGTAGGAGAAGCAGCTAGTTCCTCATTCTGGAACTTGTACCATTAACCGCTTTTCAAACTACTCTTTCAGTGGCAACCGGGACCAAACATGGTTGCAAACAAAACAAAAACTGAACGGGATAATGGGAGTGGAACATGGACCTGAAGGATGGATGGGCTTTGTTGCAGGCTGGCAGAAAACAAAACAAAATTTTTTAAAAAAAAATCCCTCACATTGAAGGATGTAGCCAGCCCCTCTTTCTCTGTATCGGGCTCCTTTCTCAGAGTCTTCCTTCCACCCCTTTCGTCTTCCAACGCAAGGTCTCCTGGGGACAGAGCTCTAATAGTCTGGGGTCCACCCAGGCTGCTGACAGGGCTGAAACAGACCCTGGAAGATGGAAACGAGGTGGGGAGGTATGTGAGATGGGGAGGAGGGGGACCAGCTCCTCAAGTTTCAGTAGTGAGGAACTTTGAGTGTCTGGTGGGTTAAAAATACTGACACCCCAACTCAGGGTCATTTGATATGGGTGGCTGAGGCATGTTAAATCCATCCAAAGGGCTGCACACGGGGAGCCTGGGAGGAAGGGGACTGAGAAGACAGCACCGAGGGAAGCATCAGAGAGAGGAGGACTAGAATAGTGATGTAGGAGCCGAAGAGGTTAAGGGTGGAAATGGAGCCAGAAAGGGCCCCCAGTGGGGAGAGCTGGCAGCATAGGAGGAGCTGCAGGGGTCAGGGGCCCCATGGAGTCCTGTCTGATTCCAAAGGTCTAATTCACGATGGAAGAAATCTAGTTGTCTCTTCAGACATTTGCCTCTCCCCAGAACCCTGCAGAAATGAGACACCAAGACTGGATCTACTCATGGGCAGGCCTGGGTGGCCTTTGCAGCCAGGGTTGTAAGCTCTGCCTGGCACATCGGGCGCTCTCCTGGGAGATCAAGAGACAGGACTCTGAGATGGCCCCAGCTCCAGCGCCATGCTCTGGTGTCCTCTGCTACCGTGGCAGCTGTCTCTCTTATACCCACTCCTGTTCTTAAGAATGTAAGTTAGGCGCGTGAGGTCTGTCACGGGGCGACGAAAGAAGCTATTCTGCTAACATAGCTTCATGTTTCTACCTAGATGCAAAATAAACACTGTCCTTCCCGAATGAGAAAAACCTTGCGCAGGGGACAAGAAGAGCTGGCTTTAGGGTGATCTTCTCACGATCCCACTTGAGCGCCAGTGTACTTCCTATAGAGTGTGAGCCCTAGAAGGCCATAAAAGGGGTCTTGCTAGATACCCAAAGCTAAAGTCATCTCTTCACCTCCAAGTGAGGAGCCTGAAACTACAGTTTTCACACCTCCAGCTCTGCTTCGGGTCTCAGAAGCATAGAATTAATCCACAGTCCTGGGTAACCTTGCACAGGGCCCACCTCTTCCTGTTTACCTTATGTTGATTTTTCCCAGGTTTATACCGGATCATCTGGTGCCTTATCAAAGACATAGGGAAAAAAATAGTATTTTTTTTATTATTAGCTCTCTTTAGAATCACGCAGCCTGGGCATCCCACTAGGTCCTCTATGTCCTAGAAACAGTCCCGCAGGATCAGGGCAGAGAGCACTGGGAGGAAGCAGCCGAGCAGAATTCCCTTCCTCATAGTGGTCCTTGCAGGCTGAGAAAGCCCAAGCCCACATCCCTACAGGATGGAATCCGGTCCAGCCCTGTCCTTCCCCGTACATTCCTGAGTTAGGACTGGTGAGAGAGGCAAAGGAAACAGGCTGGAGCGAAGCCAAGCTTCTGGTCTTGGACTCCGCTCCATCTTTTATTCAGAGAATGATCTCATCCTTGGTCGTGTTCTTTAAAGGGAACTGCAGGGGGTTTCTTTCCTGGAGCCTGGAATGTGCTTTTACTGCCCCCCTGTCTTTCATAGGATCAAAGAAATAGACTTTACCTATGGATGACTGCTAGATTTTAGGCATCAGAAGAAAGACGGCATTTCCCCCACTTCATCCTCAGCTTAGCCCCTGACCCGAACTGTGTCCACCTCTTCACCTACATTTCTTTCCGATTAGCCTTGTCCTACCCTGGGATCCCCGGTTACCCCTCCATCTCCCCTCCTCCAGCCTCGGCTTCACTTACCCCTAACTCATCTGGTCTTATTTTTAGATCCGGCATCTCTCCCTTTCCCTTTCTTAATATGGCGATGAGCTCTTAGGCCTGCATGGGGCCAGGGGCTGAGGAGCCCTGGCCACTGGGGGAGGGGGAAGGAAGGAGCTGCTGGGAGCCTAGGGAAGAGGTGTAGGAGGCGGGAGGATTCAGGCTCTCATGGAGCTGTCCTGGCCTCAGAAGGTTATCCATCTCTCCTGCCAACCACAGAGACATATTTAGACAGGACCAGGTGGGGACGGAGGGGTGCCAGTTTCAAGGGGCAGCTCCGGTTCCCTCCCCGCCCCTGCTCCTATTGCTCCTCCTGACCCCTTTCCACTTGGCTCTGTCGGCAGTTTCTCCAGGACCCAGCAGTGTCCTCTGTCCACTGCTCTGGCCCACTCCTTACCCCACCCCCACCCAGAGCCCCTAACTCAGGACTCTTGTATCCAGGGGCACCTCCCTATCTCAGCTAACCTCCTCAGGACCAGGAGAGCAGACCTAGATCCCACTACCTCCATGAGAGCTACTGACAGGATGGGGGCCAGGGCAGTGCCCACACTGCGGCTAGCACTGCTGTTTGTACTGGTGCTGGGGATACCCAAGCCAGGGGTCCAGGGGGAGGAAGGGCTGGACTTCCCCGAGTACGATGGTGTGGACCGTGTCATCAATGTGAACGCAAAGAACTACAAGAATGTGTTCAAGAAGTATGAGGTGCTGGCCCTCCTCTACCATGAGCCCCCCGAGGACGACAAGGCCTCACAAAGACAATTTGAGATGGAGGAGCTAATCCTGGAGGTGAGTAGAGAATAGCAGGCCCGAGGAGCATGCCCAGTCCCTTCTGTGAGCCCCGTGTCTGAGGGTGGCGGCGGCTGGGGTCAGAGCATGACAGGGCCTTTGTCTTCATGGAGAGCATGCCTGGAATGCAACCTTAGCCAAAAGAAAAAGACTCAGGAACCAGGGCCCTATGCTTCCTTTGGTAACTTTAGGGCAAGTCTGTGCAGTAGGAGGCAGGGATCCCAGGTTTAGCTGGGAAGGGGGGGGCTGCGTGCAGGCCTCTGCATTGGGCTCCATACCAGCGATGTTCTCTCCTAGTCAAAATATGCCCCCCTCGCACACTTCGGGCTATACCCCAATACCCAGCAGGAATGTAAACAGGACTGATATTTACCTATGACTGACTTAATGACTATGTAGTTAAATATCTCCTGGAGGCCTCCCACAAGCCTCCCAGCCCAGTCCCTTTCCCTCCTCCAATTCCTCTTTTGTCCCTAGTGGATTAAACAAATGTCCTTACAGAAAATTCTTTTGGTTGAAGGAGGCTTCAGCATGCCATCCCCGTCTTTTCTTTCGGAGAAGAGATTTCTTTACCCCCACCCCAAATCTGACTTAACCCACAGCAGAGATGGTTAATACAAAGCACAAGGGTAGGGGGGGAGAGGGAGTGGCAGGGGGGAGGCCTTAGATTGGGATACATGGCCACCCACACCCTTAAAGGAGCTGCGATATGGTCATGCTGTTTTGTTTTGTTTTGTTTTGTTTTTTGTCTGAACTTCTCTGGTCCCTTCTCCAGCTTGGTGATACAGAGGCTCCACTTTGTATGGAAAACTTGGAACATTTCATTGTCAGACACCAGGCCCCAGGCTTGCATTTCTGTGAGCCCTGTCGGGCTCTGGAAACCGCTGTCTGATTAATGAGCCAAGTATTTTTATCCTGAGTGCTCAGTAGCCTCTGCCATCCACCTGCCACCCGTCCTCCCATTCCCTTAAGAATCACTGTGCCGCAGGACTGGGCGGGGTGCAGCTGCACCCACAGCAGAAAGAGTCAGGGTGGATTGCTGGGTGGGGAGGCTTGTGGGGGAGTGACCAGCCTGTGACTCCCCTGAAGACTGGCTGGAAATGTTACAGTACTAAGGGAAAGGGGGAGACGGATCTGGACGAAGAATGCTACTTAGTTTCTGTCGTGCCTCTCCCTCCTCGGGTGATGAATGGTGACCTCTTGACTTTCTAGACTTTCCCACCCTTCAACAACATGACCAGCCGCCCCCCACCCCATCTGTCTCAGTTCTCATTTTGGGAGTTACTTGAGGGTCCCAAGGATCCTATATTCCCCTATGCTGAGTTTGGCCTTTGATCAGGATGGAAGGCAGAGCCCAGCCCTTCAGGGAAGGTGAGACTCCTCAGCTTCCCTCAGGAACTTTACAATGAGCAATAAATACCCATGATCTTTAGAAACACTGTGCCAAAGACAGGCTAGGATCATGGGGTGTTTGCGGAGAGTGTGCATCTTAAAGAATGGTCAAGGTCAATGCTTAAGCTTCTTGTACCTCAGCTGACCTGATGACAGGAAAGCGTTAAATGGGGAAGGGGTTAAATAAGAATTCTAGGAGCTAATTTTAACCCTGACTCCTTCTTCCAGTTAGCAGCCCAAGTCCTAGAAGACAAGGGTGTTGGCTTCGGCCTGGTAGACTCTGAGAAGGATGCAGCTGTGGCCAAGAAACTAGGTAAGGAAGGGAAGGAGGGGCAAGAAGCAGAAAGGGGATACCAGACCAGAGATGCCTCGGTGGAGGACTTGGGGGAGATACGGGGGGCTTAAAAATTCTCCTATCATATCTATTCTAGTGGGGAGGGGAGTCTGAGACTGGGGGCTATTCTATTCAGAGACTTGTGCCTGCTCCAATCCCAGCACGAGATGGAGTGGGGTAGCCATCTTTATCTAGAAAATGGCTAAGGCTGGGCATGAGCAGGGGCATGGTACCTCATTCTTGCAATACTTGTACTTGAGAGGATAAAGCAGCAAAGCAGCAATATTGTGGGCTCAAAACCTCCTCGGTTACACAGTGAAACAACCAAAAAAAAAAGCATGTAGATACTTTGCTTTGTATACTAACCTAATTTAGTTTTAAAAAAAAACGCAAGAGAAGAAACAAAGAAAAAGAAACACAGCTAGGTGTTAGAAGAAAAGGGGAAACCAAGGAATACAGGCATAGCCAGAGAGACCTTCTGCAAAGACCTTTTCAACTCCTCTCCTCCCCCACCCTCCCCCCTCAACCCTCCCCTCCCCCCTCTTAGCAGAGCACAGATGTTACATCACCCAGCCACCAGGCGGCAGCACAGGCTGGACACCGGATGTGGATGGGGGAAGGGTAGTTAGCAACAAGTCATCTGGACGGCCGTAGCAGAGAAGCAGCTCCTAGAGTCTTCAGAGATGCTGGCAGGAATAGTCATCCCCGGCTATGTAGGCAGAGCAAGGGAGCTGTGTTGCTAGAATCCGCATCTTTCCGGTTTCCTCCCCTCAAACCCTACCTGCTCCCCACAACCCCTCCTTGCCCCTGCTTCGTAGCCTGCTCAGCTGTGAGGTTAGCTCCTGAACTAAATCCCGAGGCACAGACATAGAATGCAGGGTGTAAGGAGTTGTTGAAGGTGGGTGGGGGAGAGAAATGGCGAGGCGGGTCTGAGTCCACTGGGATCGACTCGGGGAAGGCTGGGGTCGCAGCTCACCTCCCCTGTGTTCCTTAGGACTAATTGAAGAGGACAGCATTTATGTGTTTAAAGGAGATGAAGTCATTGAGTACGACGGCGAATTTGCTGCGGACACTCTGGTGGAGTTTCTGCTTGATGTGAGGACTCCCCTGAGCCTGACAGCCTTGACATTTCCAGTGCCCCTTAGTCCCTCCTGATCCACCCTCCACCCCTACACACACACCACAGACACCACAAGCCAGACACGCATACTACATATGCCGCACACATACCACATGCAACGTACAATAGATAAACATATTTCACACAGATCAGACGCAATGCACACAGAACAGACACATACCACGCGTATATGCTCACACGTAACAAATAACACACATCATATACAGTACCACATATACCAGTCACACAGCATACACACAATGCACTCTCATAGGCAGCACACATGACATACAATACACATATATCACATATAACATGCAACATACACAATTTATATCAGATATATGCCACGCAATTAGACCCATAAATAAACCACACATACAACAACATACCCCATGCCAAACAGAAGGTACAGAGCATACACCTCATACACATGGTACAACACCATTAACAGTGTACAGCACACGGTCCATGTGCCCACCCTCTACCACCAGCTAGCTCTTTATCCCGAAAAAGTCCCCTGCCTTTCCCTAGATCTCTCTCTGGGTCCTATCAGTGAGGACAGAAATGGTCTCCTCCATGTTTTTGTTCTTCCAGGTCCTAGAAGACCCCGTCGAATTGATCGAAGGTGAACGAGAGCTGCAGGCATTTGAGAATATTGAGGATGAGATCAAACTCATTGGCTATTTCAAGAACAAAGACTCAGAGCGTGGGTAACAGCTCCACTGCTTCCCCTCTCTGACCCTGCTTGCCACCCTGTCCTCCTGCCTCCCTCCTTCTGCCAATGGCTCTTGGCATCTCTGGTTCTGAATTTCCTGTCCCTCTCCTTCCTTCCCGTGGTCAGCTCCTTCATCTGTCCTGTCTCCTGTACCCTGGAGCATTCCCCAATCCTCCCCACACCACAGTCCCGCATTCCAGAACTTCTGCTACAGTTCAGTTGTATTTTATTCTCAGAGAACTAGAGGCTAGAGGAGATGGGTCCAGGAAGATCTGCAGAGAAGCCAAGGGGCTGATTCTCTGGCAGACCCTGAGAATGACTGTCCTCTCTTCCCCTCAGACTACAAAGCCTTCGAGGATGCCGCTGAAGAGTTTCATCCCTATATCCCTTTCTTCGCCACCTTCGACAGCAAGGTTCTCTTCCCCGAAACCACATCGCTCTCTCTTAAATTGCCCCCAGCCTTCTCTCCCAAATTGATGGGGTCTTGGTCCCATTCTGCATGCCGGCTCTCCTGCACCTGAAACTCATCCCTTCTTTCTTCTATATAGTTGAAGGGAAGAGGGGCACTAGATTGTCTTCCCTGTCGTTGTCCTGTTAAATTAGCCCAGGGAAGTTAAGCTACCCCCGCAGACCCGCATTTTCTGACTCCTTCCCTGCAGCTCCTTTCCCCTTTGTACTAGTTCCCACTCAGACCCTGCATCTCCGACTCACAACTCTTGTCTACTTCCTCAAAGGTGGCAAAGAAGCTGACCCTGAAGTTGAACGAGATTGATTTCTATGAGGCCTTCATGGACGAGCCTGTGACCATCCCAGACAAACCCAACAGTGAGGAGGAGATTGTCAGCTTCGTGGAGGAGCACAGGAGGTGGGGACTGAGCAACCCTCTTAGTGGGGGCGGGTTCCTCCTGGGGCTAGAACCCCAGTCTGTGAGCTGGGCTGGGAAACTTAAGCCAGCCTGGAAGCTGGTGTCCACTGGAGATGAATGCTCTTCTGGACATTGGTGCTCACTGAAACCCTAGTGCTTCTGCATTATATTTTGTGCCCCAGAACTTAGCCCTGAGCCCTACACAAAGTCCTCTGTGAATGTGTGTGGACTGTGGGGCTGGTTTCCATTTAAGGAATTTGCCAACAAATGAGTAGTGAGTGCCTGTGTTCTGACCAGAGACTTAAAAGGCTCCTCTGTCTACTGTTGAATTTCATTCTTTTATCATCCTCAATGAAAGAGGCGACAAGGGGAAGAGGGGTCAGAACTGGGATTTAAGCCTTAACTCAGTCCCATGCCTGTTCTCATTCTCAGTGCTAGCCGTTGTCAACAGAGGTAGAGGAATCGGCCAGTGGCTGTTAGGTAATGTTCCCAGGACATTTTTGGCTGTGAGGAGTGTGGCTGGTATTCTAATTAGAGGCCAGAGATCCTATTAAGCATCCTGCAGTGCACCGGATACCCCCCTCCCCTCTGCATCAGCGCTGCTGAAGCTAGGAAAGCCTGCCCTATACTCACGCATAATTCACTTCCTTCACGAGACTCCACGACTGGAAATACCCACTCATCAGTCTAAGTACCACTTACTCTCTCCCACTGGATGCTGGATGCTGGCCCCTTCCATTGGGGCATGACATGTTTGCATTGTCTAACTCTACCCAATACCTAACTCAGTATTTACAATGTATTTCAGACCCTCCCTGCTCCTGGTACTGGGAAGGGAACCCAGGGCCTGGCCCACATTAGGCATGATATATACACACACATATATGTTTTTCAACACAGGGTTTCTCTGTAGCTTTGGAGCCTGTCCTGGAACTAGCTCTTGTAGACCAGGCTGGTCTCGAACTCACAGAGGATATGCTTGCCTCTGCCTCCCCCTCCCCCCAGTGCTGGGATTAAAGGCGTGCACCACTGCCATCCGGCATGTGGCATGTAATTCTACTGAGCCCAGGTTGTCAATTTTATTGAATGAACAAATGAAAAAAAAAAAAAAAAAGACTACCCTGATACCCAGTTCTTACCGTCCCTCCCAGCGTCTCTCTTCCAGCCGTCCCCTTCCCACCAGCCATTGTTTTGCAGCCATGCAATGATCTGGGCCTGCCGCCCAGAGCTTTAGATTTGCAAGCTGGCTTTGTTCTGGGGTACAAGCTGTCTATGCCCTAGGCCTGACCCAGAGGTGGTTTCAGCTGTGGGGACCTTCTGGAGGGAGATGTTCTTCTCACCCACTGAGTAGGGACCCCCTGTCTCTCTTCTAGATCGACCCTGAGGAAACTGAAGCCTGAGAGTATGTATGAGACTTGGGTGAGTGCCTCTCCCAGGACCCGGTGCTTGGGGAGCAGGGGTGGGTAGAGTCTTAGAAATGGCCATCCTTCCTCTACCTTGTGCCTTCTGCTGGGGGGTGGGGAGAGCAGTATCTCAGTCAGGGGGCAAGGTTTCTGTACTGAGGAACACATCTCCGATGGCAGGCATAAGTGAAGAAGAGGTCAAAGTAGTCTCGAACTCTGAGAGTAAAGGGATTACTAGAGCCGAAAGGTGTCACTCAGAAAAGAGTCACCACCATGGAAATACAAGGTGGCATTCCATGATTCAGACTCAAGCAACATCAAGAAGGCTGGATAGGATTAGAATAAGGTCGCCCCCAGCTCTAACCCTGCTCCCCTCCTCACCCTCCAACAGGAGGACGATATGGACGGGATCCACATTGTGGCCTTTGCCGAGGAAGCTGATCCTGGTGAGGAAAGAACCCTGACATGGCCCGGGGGAAGCCAGGGGTGGGTGGTGTGTTTGTTGGGTCATAGGACTGCGGAAGGCATTCCTGGGAGTTTGCAAGCAGCCTGGGGCGTGCAATGTGTTGGTGTAGGAGGCGAGGAAACTGGCCTGGATTCCTGTCTCCTGTGTCCCTTTCCTTTCTGTTCCACCTCAACGTTTCTCCCTCTGCTCCCTCCAAGATGGTTTTGAGTTCTTAGAGACTCTCAAGGCAGTGGCCCAAGACAACACTGAAAACCCTGACCTTAGCATCATCTGGATTGACCCCGATGACTTCCCCCTGGTAAGAGGCCCAGCTCAAGCATTGGGCTCCTAATCTGGGGACTTGGCCTGGGGCACTGTTTTTGTTTCAGAATTCCTAGCCCTACCTACTTCCTAGTTGGGGACCCAGAATATTATGCCTGCTGCATGTTCATGAGCAATGTGGACACAGAAGGCATCTGAGCAAGGGGAACAGGGACGACATGTGATTGCATGGGATATAGTATGTGATTCCCAGATCAGAGGCAGACAGGTGATTTGTGTGCCAGAACTGAAAAGCGGTCCTCTGGCGAGCAGCTGGATACAGCACACTGCACATGAATTCAGGAAGTCAGCAGATCCCATGAGCCAGGGGATGGCTCTGCGCTCAGCTGAATCCCCAGCATCTGCCATTTGTTGTTGAATGAGCAAACAGGAACGGGACAGAATACTGATGATTGCCAGGTATAAGTACTTATGTTAAGACACGCAGGAACTGAGCTGGAGAGATGGCTCAGAGGCTAGGCGCACGCGCTGCTCTTCCAGTGGGCCTGAGTTCAGTTCTCAGCACCCATGTCTGGTGGTTGTACAACTACTGGGGATCCATACCACTTCTGAAGGTATGCACACACGTGGTAAATGCTCAAACACACACACACATAAGTAGAAATAAAAATAAACCTTAAGTAGCTGGATGGTGGTGGCACACGCCTTTAATCCCAGCACTTGGGAGGCAGAGGCAGGAGGATCTCTGTGAGTTCATGTCCAACCTGGTCTACAAAGTGAGTTCTAGGACAGCTAGGATTGTTACACAGAGAAACCCTGTCTCAAAAATAAAAAATAAAAAATAAAAAATAAATAAATCTTAAAAAGAGAGAGATGAAGGAACCGAGGGCTCTGCAAAGAGAAGTGAGTTGCCCCAAGGCATATGGCCAATCATAAGTAGACCCAGGAACAAAGTAGAGTTTCTGTTTTACTTCTTCTCCAAAAGGAGAGGCTGCCTTCCTCGTCTTTTTCCTTTGAGGTTTCTTCTCTTTCATTGATTAGCTTTACCTACAAGCTTGTGGTCCACAGCTGGGCTGTCCCTCCATCCGTTAGCGCAGCTCATCCTGCCTCCTTTTAGCCCTGGCCCGAGACTCATCCTTGGATGGGCTTGTGAACTTCTAACCTGTATTAAGTTGATGTTTTTGGTTCTCTCCACAGTTGGTCCCATACTGGGAGAAGACGTTTGACATCGACTTGTCAGCTCCGCAAATAGGAGTTGTCAATGTTACAGACGTGAGTTTCCTTTCCTTATTCCTGGCTGCGCACCAGATCATCTCCCACCCAAGTACTAACAGGGCTCGACCTTGCTTCGCCTCCAAGATCAGATGGGACTGGGTGTGTTTAGGGTGGTGAGACCAACCATCTCAGCATAGCTAGCTCTCTTCCACACTGCTGCTAACAAGCAAGCAAGCACTGCCCAGGAGCAGAAGACACTCTGGTCAAATGGCTGGACCTGTGGGGTGGGGACGCATGATCTGAGCATTTGAATCTTTCACTCGCTGGAATTATGTCATTCTTCAAAGTCCAGTTCAATTTCTTTGTCCTCCACTGAGTTTCTCTTTGGAATCATCCCCTCTGTGGTACCCTGGGAGCCACTGGCATTAAGAACTTCCCTTTAGAGCATCCTATCTCTTCTAGCAGTCTTGGAACATTTCGAAGGCAGACGTCTTCTGGTGACCACATAGTAGATGCTTACGTGTTGAGCTGAACTGAGCAGTCCAGCTTTTACTTTTGTAGTATTCTCAGTCTAACAGAATAGGCAAGTATCCCGTTAATTGTAAGGCTGGTTCTGGTAAGTTTTATAATGGAAATAAAAGGCTAGCAAGGCCGGAATTTCTGCTAGAGAGACTCGGAATAGAGTTTAAGAGGAAGCAGCATTACAGTGGAGATTATATAGTGTAGAGGATTCCAATCGGAGACAAACTCTCCAAACTGAGAGCCAGGCCTGGTGGCCCATGCCTGCAACCTAAGCACAGGAGAGGCAAAGGCTGGAGCACTGCAGAGAGTTCAAAGCCAGTTTGGGTTACACGGCTGAATACGAGACCAGCCAGCCAAGGCTGTAAAGCAAGTACACATTTTGTTTTGTTTTGTTTTTATTTATTTATTTATTTATTTATTTTTTTTTTGAGACAGGTTTTTGTCCATACAGCCCTGGCTGTCCTGGGACTCTCTCTATAGACCAGGTTGGCCTCGAAATCAGAGATCTACCTGCCTCTGCCTCCCAAGTGCTGAGATTAAAGATGTGATTCATCAAGAGCTTATCTTAAAAAAAAAGTTGAAAAACAAACAAACAAACCAACAACACAACAACAAAAACACAGCAAAAAAGTGAATATCAGGTTTGGGAATGGGCAAGTATTTTTTAAAATAGAGTTTCAAACTTTAAGATCACTGAGACTATTACTAGAAAATCATTTTATAAAAATCTTGAACGTTGGCACCTCTGAATTTATTCTGTTGGCTGTGAGTAACCACCAGTGCTTTTGTATTATGGACGCAGTAGAGATGCATGCTTTCAGCAGGTTAGGATGGCAACAGTGAAGGAAGACAGACTGAAGGGAGGGAGGTCTGTAGCCAACTCACCTCTTCTTTCCACTCCGGCCATCACTATACTGACACTGATCTTCACCAGGATAGGTTCTCTGGCCTCGGAAGGAACAGAGGCTGTACAGTGAGCGGGAGGACGAGGTCCAGATCTGTATTAAATTTGGCTTCCATCCCCTGCCTGTGCCATCACCTAGGCGGACAGCGTATGGATGGAGATGGACAACGAGGAGGACCTGCCTTCTGCCGAGGAGCTGGAAGACTGGCTAGAAGATGTGCTGTCGGGAGAAATCAACACAGAGGATGACGATGATGATGACGATGATGACGATGATGATGACGACGACGACGACGATGACGACTAGTTGCTGTGGCAACCACCTATCAGCCCCGCTTACTCTTCATATGTACCTTCCTACCATCCACGCACTTCCCCAAGCTCCTTGGGACACACTAGGTCACTCTCTACTACAGGGCCCACTGTGGTCTACATACAGGGTGCTTGAGGTCCTGGTCTCCCCGCTGATGAGAAAGGGAGCTGCTTCTCCTCAGATACCAGCCCAGTTCTTTCATCTCTCTCGTTTCTTATTCTATACCTTATCCATATCTACTGATTCTCTCCTCCCCATACTTTCTGATTCTCTTGCCATCTCTTCTCTGTCCCTTCCATCAACACAGTCTCCCACTTTTCAAATCTTAAACCTTTCTGGCTGTCCTGATCCAGGCCAGGAGGAAGGGAGGTACTGTGTTCAGGGATGTATCTCACCCATCTCTTGTTAATGTATTTGGGTCAAATGCAAGGCCTTAATAAAGAGATCTGGGGCAGAATGAGCAAGCGTCTGTTGTTGACGAAGTCTCGCCCTTATGGCAGGAGGGAGGTGACCATCGGAAGTGAGATTTCACTGTGAGTGCCTTGTTAGGAATGAGCTAGGGGCTGATTAGCAGTTATCCCAGGGAGGGCTGGATATTTATCTGCCTCCAGTCAACAAGCCTTTTCTGAACACACGGTGTTTGTTCAGTGTTGTTCTGGAGGAACAGACAGCGCCAGGCCTGTCCCTGCTCTTGAGCTGACTAGCAGCCTAAACAACTGAAGAATACCATAGCAATATGTGATTGATTGTGTTGCTGCTTGACAGTGCCCTCCCAGAGGTCTGTATTTGAACATCAAGACTGAGTCCGCTGTTCTTCCTTAGTGAGGGTCTCTCCAGACCATGGCGGTCCTGCCATCTCCTTCCGTGGTCCCCGCTGCTGTTTCTGTGTACATGCACCTACACCTCCCTTCTTATACTTGATGTACCCTGTTACTGTTCTGCTATTACACAGCCACTAAATTGAGTCCTGAGGGCAGGGACCCAGGCTTTCTCTTTATTTCTATAGGGCCTTTTACATAAAGAATTGCCCCCATGGTAGTGTAAAGAACTTAGTGACTTCCACAATGGAAGCAAACCTCCTCAAGACCTTCAACTGAGGAGATTTGACGGGAGCCAAAGGAGTTGGGACAGGGACATTCCAGTCAATGGAAACATAACAGCAAACTCGAAAGCATTAGCAGGGTGTGTTTGTCATTTTGGCGGAAACCAGAGGTTAGAAAAGTGAAGAGAAATTCAAGTTGTGGCCACGGGATTGGGCAAGTGTAATGGGGTTGGTTTGTACAAGTGTTTGAACTAAATCCTATGAACTGGGATAGAAGGGCAAAATTTCAACTAATAATAGCAAAAACCAGGATAGACTTGGGAAGGGGAGGTGATGCAAAGGCAAAGAGCCCCACTCCTAATCAGAAACTATGATCAGTGAGCTGGGGAGAATCTGGACCCATGTGGTTGTCATGGCAACCAAGAAGAATTGACTTTTGAACTAAGAGCATCCCCAGACTTAAACCTGTTAAGAGTTTTGTGACAAAAATTCACACACACACATACTCCCACTCCCAGGATAGGTTCAGGTGGGAGTAAGCACATAGGTGTTGGGAGAATGAAGGACCGAACTGCTGAACAAGCTTCTAAATAAAGAGACATTGTTGTTTTTAGATAGGGCATTACTATGTAGCCCGAAATGGGAGTCCTCGTTTCAACACTCTGAATCTTGATATGGCAGGTGTATACCACGTTATGCCTCACCCTAGTTTTTGTGAAACTAGTGTAGTTAGTAGATGTCTAAGTATGGAAAAATGAGCCCAGAGATTATAGACATTTTCACTCTCCACAGACAAATCTACCCAGGCATTTCTTAAAGAAAATGGCCATATTGTATAGAACAGAAACCAAATATCCATCAACCTGTTCACACATAATGGATAACTAATAATTGGGTGTTAGGTTATACCATAAAAGTATGGGGTTTAGTACAGGTCAGTGAAAGATACCACACTAAACAACTTCCTGTTTTTTTTAAGCACCTATCTGGTACCGGTCCCTAAAGACTTCATATTTCTGACTGTCGGAAGAACCTTATATTGGCACAGCATCCTCATTGGCTGGTGGACACTGAACTTGATGAATTTAGAGGAAACAGTAAGCAGGAAGCTCATAGTCTCTGTGTCTGCTGCCGGATTTGCTTCATTTAAATACAACATGTTGTGCAGTTGCTGAGTCTCAAAGATGGGTCAACAAGAGAGTTTGGCTCCATGACACAGAATTAGGAACAAAAGCAAATTCTGGGGGTATGTTATCTTCAAAGGGGCAGCGGCCAGCCACGCTGGGGGAGAAGAGCAAAGAGAAGCCCTGTGAAATTTAAAGTGGCAGAAACATGACCTGCTTCTCCCAGAAGTGTGGTCCCGAGAAAGGAACAACTCCCTAAGGCTTCTGGAAGCGTCTCTGCCAAGCTAGAACAGAGGCAAGACGAGGCGTTCTAGTGGCATGCAAACATGGAAGGATGGTCATACTTTTCAAGGCCTGACACTTCCAGGGGTTGAGCTGAGATCCCTTATGCTAGAGATGGAGTGAATATCGAAGGCTTCTCCAGTTCTCCCTTCCCTCTTTCAGTCTGGCTGAGAATGTGGGGGAGGAAAGTCCCTGAGGTGGAGAGGAAGTGAGAATTATCACACTGGGCCTAGGCAGAGGGACAGAGCTAGGAGACAGCTAAGGGTGGCTTTGTTAGTTGTCTATATTTGCATGCTGAGCTCGTGGCTTTTTTCCCCAGAAAATAAAATTACATCATTGTGTGTGTGTGTGTGTGTGTGTGTGTGTGTGTGTGTGTGTGTGTGTAGGGGGTGAGTGTGTCAGGGTTTATTTGGGAAAGGCAAGACGGGAGGAGGGAGGAGCACAGGGGTCCAGCTGCTATTATCCAGGAGAGATCATGGCTCCAGGCCAAGTAAAAGAGATTATTATCCTGTTGCGGCTCCTCCCCCACCCCCATCCCCATTTCTATTCCTAGCATGGATAAACTTGGTCATTTTCTACTGCTCCTCTGACCTATAAGGCCAGGAAGGAGGCTTTTCCAAATACTAAAGCAAGAGAACCCAGAGGTCCCAGGCCTTCCAAAACCCCCAATCCAAATTGCTTCCGCTTTCCAGGGGTCCTAGTCACCGTGATCATCCAAAAGTCAGAGGGCAGAAAAGCGACCTACTGGGGACAAATTAATCTGAGGACCGTTCCACAGTTGAAGTGGAAGAGGCAGAGTCCATACTCCAGTCCAGTGCTGTCTGCATCTAGGAGTCTTCCAGAACCCCAGCCCACAGTCCATGTCCCCTCCTGCCTCCCCTCCCCCTTCTCTCGCCGCTCCCCGCCCCCCGCCCCTCCCCGGCTCTGACATCACCGGCCAGCCGAGTGGGGTGAGGCGGTGCTGGGCTCCAGCTCTGCTCCACGGGCGGAAGAGGCGGCGGCGGCAGGAGCGGCAGCAGCGGTGGCAGGAGCCAAGGAGCAGGCTCCATACGCTGCTTAGGAACCGGGGACCCACGAGTGCCCGCACCCTGAGCGCTCAGCTCCGGAGGCGGTGAGAGGGGCAAAGGGGAGATGTGTCGTGGGGTGGAGGTAGATTGGGGGTCTGGGTCTAGAGAGGTCACGATTCTGAACCCGGGGGATAAATAGGGGAGCGTGAGGATTCAGACAGGTCCATAGTGTCAGGCCCCGTGGGCTTTATGCCGGTGTATTCAGAATCTGGATTGTGCTGCAGGCAGAGTGGCTTCGTCTGCCCATTTCGTGCTGAGCAGCAGTTTGGGAGTCCTATGGGGCCTGGGGATTAGGATGTAGCCTGCTTCCCGCCCAGCCGGCCTGGCCAGGCCAGCTCCCGCCCCTCCCTCCTCGCTGTTGCTTCGGACTCGCCTCTGCAGGCGGTCTCCGGGCTCAGCTCAGCCCAGCATCAGCTCCTCCGGCAGCAGGCAGCTGGTAGGTGTGCTCTCACACCCAGCCTACTGCGTCTGGGGAGAGTGAGATTGGTGGAAGCTTGCCCGGAGGGAAGGAGGTAGGAGCTGCGGGTGCAGAGGAATGATGTAGACTACGTAAAGACCCTAATTTTTTTTTTTTTTTTTTTTTAAAAATCAGTGTCAAAACCGACAGGGACACAACACACCTTTAAGGAAAAAAGCCAACCACACGGTGACACACACCCATGTGACTTACACACATCCTCTCATACAAACCAAATCACAACATCCTTGCACTACACATACACCCACCCACCACAACCCATTGCCTCCTGTGTGGAGTCTCCGTGACCGGCGGCTCTAAGATATCCCTCTCAGGAGGAATGTTGAGTAGTGGATGTAAGCGGCTGCTCTCCACAAACGCACCCAGATTTTATGGACAGCTTTAGCAGACAATACTTCAAAGACTGGTGAGCCTGTGCTCTTACCTGGGTGAGGGGCTTCCTGTGACCTTTCTTGCTGACTGCACGTTTAGAGCATGGAGTACCTGGGAGTGGCTAGATTCTGGGCATCAGTGTGGCCAAAGGATGGAGGAGGGAGCAGAAGCAAGAATGAGTCAGCCACGGAAGGAACCCAAGTTAGAGGGAGGGTGGGGAAAGAGAACGAGAGAGAGAGAGAGAGAGAGAGAGAGAGAGAGAGAGAGAGAGAGGAATGTGTGGAAAAAGGGACAGACCCAGAGTGAACCATGGAGAGGAAAAGAGAGAGAAGGGTGGCCAGAGGAACCGGAGAATGCTGGAGAGTAGGCTAAAGAGGACCAGAAGTTAGGAAGGGTGAAGAAAGCAGGGAGTTAGAAGGAACACGTGAACATTTGTGTCTTGTTTCTCTAGGTTGTGTCTGGCCCCCAGGCTGGATGAGCGATTAGTGTTAATTGCTCTTCCCTTTGCGGTTAAACACTCCAGTGGGGAAACTGCCAGCATGCCCTAGGCTGCCAGCTTCTCCGGTTGCCTACTACTTATACGACACCTGTGCTCAGCAGGTGTATGTACATATACTTCATACATAAGGTCACAGACTCACACGACCTCACACACAGATCTTCACGTACAACGTGAAGATAGTCCAGCTAGGCTTCCTCACTAGCTAGGCAGCAGCCAACCATCATATATTCCCTCCTGTCAACCTTTTTCCTTTTCAGTGGGGAAGCGGATCCCCTCCTTATGGTAGCTCTGAGTATTTGGGTGGGGACTCTGAGTCTCATGAAGTTCAAATGTGTCCTTGGCTATCCGCAAACGGGATGCGTGCATCGGGAGAGATGGAAGGTATGAGTGCCGTGGACTTAGCCCAGTGGGAGAGTGCTTGCCTGGTCCTCCAAAGTGGGGCTAAAGGAGGTAGCTGAAAGAGGTGGAAAAAGAAACCAAAACTGACGAAGGAGAAAGGAAATAGATGAGAAGGGACAAAGCTGTGAAAGACATGAACAGTCAGTCTAGAGGGAGAGTCACAGG